GTAGTGAGTTTAACATGTAGAATTGACAAATTCTAAAGGTCACAATTTGTTGTGTTTATAATCAATAGGAAGATGGAAATAAACACGATTATTTAGAAAGAAGCTGTTGGAGAAAAGAATAAATTTCAGAGCTGTCTTTGAAGGATGTCTTTGCTTTTATAAGAATCAGGAAAACAGAAACTATAAAATATTTGAAGAAAAAATGCAAAGGCAAGGTAGTGATTCAAAGCAAAGAAAATGTTCATATTGTGGCACTCTGTGAAGTCAAAGGTTGTAGAAAATCACATTAGTTTGATTATTGCAGGTCAGTGGTGATGAAAGAGGACTGAAATTTCAGGAGAGAGAGATGGAACTGCATTGCTCAAAATATGCAAAATAGAATGCAGGGTGGACACAGAATAATCAACCCAATATACAAACAATTCACTGAGAATTACTGTGCAAGAGAAAAAGAACAGGAGACCTGAATGAATAAAGTTAATAGTTCCTTGTTGGTGTGGAGAATTATATTTACTCAAAAAGTATAAGTAGTGGAAAACAGAAAATAGACATTAAATATTCAAGAGCTTAGAGTATAATTGATTGTTACAAATTGGAGATTTTCTTTGCAAAAAAGAAAAATTATCTATTTTCAAAAGTCTGAGAAAAACAAGAATGAGCATGGATTGAGAGTTCTATGTGATGAAAAAAGACAATGAATCTACTTGAGGCCTGGGGATCTTGGTTGTGAGCCTAATCTTAGGACAGTTGGACAAGTTGCTTACTCCGTTTCAATTATGAATAACTATATTTTTGACTTATAATTGTCACATAATTAAAGAATAAAATCTTACTTCAGTATAGCAGTCCTTACTAAGAGAGCTCAACCATTTTCTATGAAAAATATTTTTATCATTTTGTTCTGTGTTTTTTTTTTTTTTAGTTTATTGAACTATGTTTTCACATATGTGTTTTATGTGAATCTGAAATTAATTGTTAGCTATGGATATAGTTTAATGGCACAGCACCTGTCTGGCAAGAATGAGGTCATGAGATTGATTCTTGGTACAAAAAAAAAAAAAAAGAAAGAAAGAAATTAATTTTCAGAAAGTCCCTAAATTATGGACAATTATGAGTTTTCAGAATTTTTTTTCTTAAGTATATCAGACAGATTGTTTTAATGAAGATCATGTTGTATTAAAACTCTCAGAAAACTGATTTCATCAATCTTTTTCCACTTTTTGAAAACTTGTTATAATAGATAAATTTAATTTTGAAATACTCTAAGAAAATTATCATGTCAAAGTTGTATGCACAAAGTATCAATAATAGCACAAAAGCCAGTGCGGTGAGTTTATGTTTATCTATGTGCAGAGTAAATTTATTAACTATCTACTTCCCAGATGATTCACAGCATATCCAATCAAGAAAGCAGAATTTATTGCCTGTTTAAGTCAGGGAAGATAAGAATTTAAAAGTGTCTTAGAGTGAGGTACCGTGGTACATAGTTTCAATCCCTGATAATCAGGATTGCAAACCAGGAGGATCTCAAGTTTGAAGCCAGCCTGGGCAGTTTAATAAAACTCTCTCTAAAAAGAAAACAACAACCACAATAACAACAAATTAGAGGTCTACGGTTGTAGAATTCTTGTCTGCATAGTTCAGGGCCCTTATTTCAATTCCCAGTACTAAATCTATAAAGTTTTAGTGTCCAAAAGAAGGAGATAGGGGAGCAAAATGCAGGATTGGGATTCTGAGTTTGAGTAGCATGCAAAATGTGTGTGTGGTGGGGTACATTTCATGATATAATACTTTGATTACTTGAAGTCTTACTTTCAAGAGCTTAAGTTCCTAAATTTTCAGAAAATTCCTAAAATGCAAAAATTTTCTTCCAATTCATAATCTCAACTTGGTGGACAAGAATTTCCTAAAACAGAGTGGGTCACATGTCTTTAGGGTGCTTCAGTGCTTGATCCTGATAATGAGGGTGGGATGCAGAGGGGTCTCCATTGTTAATGTCAATAATAGTTAAAAACTGAAGCATAATGTTAAATGCCGTTGATTTTGTGTAGGAGAGGTATAAAATATGGTTGCACGATTGCATATGAAAGTAAGATTTATTCCTGATGTTTCTTTTTTTAATTCAAATTATGGAAAAAATAAAATGAGACTAATGACTATTTTGGGGTTCTTCACACTAAGACACATGCTTGGATTTCAGAATAGATCCTGTCAAAATTTTTCATTAAAAATACTGCCTGAGTTGAGAATATGTTCAAGATAATTGCCTCTTAACTTTCAATGAGCTACAAAGCAGGAACCATTACCTAATTAAAGTACAGAGAGAACTTGCTTAATGCTGTCTTTAAGACAGTTTCAAGTAGCCTGCTATAATCTTCCCATGTTAATGTACTTTAATCATTGATCTGATTCACTCATATTCCATCAACTATTATTAAAACGAATACGCGGTAGATGGTTTAGAAATGTAGCTCCAGAATGTAATTTATTAGCCCAGTAAAATGAGTTTCAAAAATGGGAAATTCTACATGTGATAATAAATAAAATTTTAAGTTAAATAAACGTGAGACACAGAAGACTCATTTATAAAAAATCATGAAAAAGTTCATGAATAAAGACAGTTATTAAAGGCTTCTGAATCATTCTTGAAAAATCATTATTAAATAGTAAGGTAAAAAATTACACTGCATAAAATTTTTTTTCTCTTATTAGTTAGCAACATTGAACCAAATGCTAAAGTTTCAGGATGCAGGTGCAAAAGTATTTATACAAATGCAAATACAAAGTCTCTATATTTTTTCAAATCCCCAAAATTGTTCATTAAAAAGGATTTTAAAAATTAATTTTATTTTCTTGTGTTCATTTCCTTCTATGTCCTTGTGCTCTTATTCAAAATGAGATAATGAATTTTTCTTCTCCATGTCTCATAGCAATTTATTATTTGCTTAGTATTTTCTCTTACTGGAAGAAACTATGAGGCCATGTGTCTTCGTCTCTTCCATTTACCATGGATCATGTTCATACTAAAGCTACACTCTCAGTTTTCTTTATGTCTAAAGCCATAGAAATGTTCCTTTTGAGCTTTCTGCTGTATGGATTCCTTCTGGGAGAATAACCACTCAATGAAAAGTGTACAGCTATATTTATTTCTATTCCCAAATGCAAGGAAAGGAAAGCCACATTAAGAAAGCCTAATTTATTGATCAAATATTATGACGGTAATTTTGTTAGGGAATTCTCCTTGTTTTTTCTTGCTGTTTACAGGGATATGTTCAAGGTCAAGAAATGGTCCCGAGTGGATATGTCAAGAAAGATAATAAGGAACAGTTGGGGATTAGAATTTAAACCGAGATTGGATTCTTACTTGGAAGTACTACTATACAGTAAGGAGAGAGGAGATCAAATCATCTGACAAAACCAAACAGCAGTTTATCAGCAGTGTGGCTCATAAATATGGGGCTAGGAAGGAAAGAGAGAAATAGAATACTCATCAAAATCTTTATTGCCTATGTGAGCCTGTTATTTGTTCTGGATTACTAGAAAAGAAAATGTGTAAAGGTAAAGATATCAAAACAACAATTTATTCATAGCATATAATAGACATTCAGAAGATAGCATGATTATTTTGAAATCTCATAGAGCTCTCGGTCTATATTGTCAGCTTCAGGAAGTAATTGAGAAATCCGTTTGTGATCTTTTTTTCTCCTTTTCTAAAATGTTATTTGCCTTTTGCTGTTTCTGTTAAAAGCTCCAACTTACATTCAGGTGAATAAAAGCTACTGATTCTCACTACCATCTTTGATGTTAAGATTGGGTCATAACTAGTCTTTAGAATAAAACACTGAAAAAAAACACCTCATTTTTATTAGTGTTGATCATTTCTCATCACATTTATGTTAGGTATTACTATTCACGTTATTGAAATAACAAGAGAAGGGAGCGGAAAGCCACGTTCTCCCCGAAATGTTAGATCTTTCCACCACATCACCATGAAGTTCAGGCTGGTTTGGTCTCACTTTGTAGTCCAGTGTGGCCTTGGACCCAAACTAATTTTCTTGTGTCAGTCTCTGGAGTGCTGGGACTATAGGCGTGCACCACCATGACCAGCAAGACATTCACATTTTTAAAAATTGTGATTTATGTAGGTTTTTTCACTATGAACCGTGAAAATAATCCCCTTTAACATCACCCTTTCTCCAAGAATGTTCAGGTGGGTGTGTAACACAATGAAATTGAGCAAAAACTAGAAAGGAATTACTCAAATTTAAGAGGGACTTAAAATCTATTACTTTATATCCACACACATGCACACACACACACACACACACTCCTAAATATTTGAGTATTATCTTACTTTTTTCTCAAGTTAATGTGAGGTGTGAGATATTTTCAAGGTCATTTAATTAAAAATATGGTTAAATTTGACTCAAAAGTTGACAAAGTGAATTTGATGATGTGACCTTAATGCTTTTGATTTTTGGTCACACTAAACAGATTAAAATACCCAGAGAAAAAATTTTCTACCCCAGAGAAAAAGAGGTTGGCTAGAACCAATGACGAATTTCTGGGATTGAGCCAAGATACCCGAGGTGGTATGAGAATATTTAGAATTATGCACAGACTTTATACATTTAAAAAAAAATTCTAGATTGCTTATTGGTAGTACCTCATTTTGGAAACTGGAAGCTCTTCCCAGTATCTCTCCACCTCAGAATGGGCAGCAGGTTGTCTGTATTTTAATTAATTTCATTTGTTAAAGCTTGAAACTGAGGAGCCCTGTCACCAATCCTGTGTTCTTTGCACAATAGGCCATGTGTTAGGCAGGCTTCCTGATCTTTCAAGAGAATTAATGTGAGCCAAGTATAGAAATCTGCTCGGGTTATTGGAGGCTAACAATAATTGCTCCAATGTGTCTGTTTGTTATGCGCATTTTCTCCCCTAAAGTTATTATATTACCTACTTAATGTGTTTGTCAATTGTTAATGTCTTTGTTGTTGCAGATACAGATGTGGTGTATAAAAGCGAGAATGGACATGTCATTAAACTGAATATAGAAACAAATGCCACCACATTATTATTGGAAAACACAACTTTTGTAAGTAATGAATAATTAATTACTTTGTGTATTTCAATACTGTTTAGATTGCTGTTTAGGTGTACTTAAGATTCTATTCTCCAGATCCAGCACTTGAAACATTTCAGGTGGAAAGTTAGAGCTATCATGAGACTCAGGACATCTACGGATGGAAAATACCCATGGGCTCCTGCTTTATTTTCTTCTCATGTGCCGTTTTAAGTGAATAAATATGCCAGGAATAATAATCGTATGAACATTTTCAAGTTAATTGTATTCATTTGGAATGAATACTTTCCTCAGTACTTTCTAGGTGCAATTAGTTTTAAAATGGCAACATTTTAAAAAATGTTTAGCCTTGACCAAGTTATAATTAGCTTACACTGCCTCCTTTTCCTTCTCAATGTTTTGAATTTCTCCTTATGGCTTTCCAGATGAGATAGAAGGAAGACTTAATAAAACTGGCCTTGTGATGGGCTTCGTAATGGCCTGTTTTCAGTGTTTCAGACTTTGTGAGTCTCACTTTCATTCTGCTGAGTCACCCTTGTGTTCCTGCAATGATCAAAAGACTGCATGCACTTACTATGTTTATATTGCTCTTATAAAGCCACAATAGCCTTAAGCTTGAAAACCTTAGCTATGATTTTTCCTTTAGTAAACCAGTTATTACAAATTTTGCAAAATCTAGTTTCCAAATATTACCAAAATAATGCATAATTACTTATTCTATTATATATTCAAAGATTTACTATATTGTATATTAGACAAGTCTATATGCTAAAGATGAAGCCTATGATAGGCCTCAGAAGACCTCCACAAAAATAAAACAATAAAAAACCTTTGGCTACTATGTAAACTTTTTTATATTTGTCCATTTTTGGTAAACATTAAATTTTCAGATATATTAAAAATACACAAGTGCAACAGATAAACTATGAACTTTCTCTTTTAGTATTTTTATATGTAAAGAAAATGGTCATTGATATTATGATTATGATTATTATATTATTATTAGGTTTATAAGTATCTGTTTAGCTAAATTTAATCATCCAGCTGATGTGCGTTAATAGTATGGTCATTAAGTAGCAGAAGGTAATGGCATTTTTATTTCAAATAAATCAGTTAATTTACAGTTATTCAAGGTACTATATACATGTATGTGTAATATATATATATATATATATATATATATATATAAAACCCTTCATAGTCCTTGGTGAATACAAAGAGTATAAGAGTATACAAGGTCATTTACTCATTTTTTATGAATATGTATTTGTTAAAAATATTTTTCAGTAAAAAGTATAAAACACTACCTAATGTTTATTCCTTGTACAGTCCCCAGAGCAGTAGATAAGGAATCACTAACAGACATTGTTGTCAGTGTTAAAGAAATCATTACTAAGAAGATAGGGTTGGTGGGAGAAAGTGTGAATTGCTAATGATGAGAAGGTATGCTAGTAATGAGTATTTTAAGTCAGAGTGAAGTGATTTTCTATAAAATGCAATTGGAAAACAAAAAATTGTGTATATTTTTCTGTTTTAGTTTCATTTACCCTGGAGTAACAATTTTTATCAATGCATAGGGCTTCAGTGGTCCGGTATTCAGGTTAGCTACAAATGGTATATTGATACTTTTTCGTGTGACTGATCTATACTTATAACTCTGTTACACAGGTTAATGAGTCTTTTGTTCTAATCATTAAGTATATCAATTTGTTCATAGCATGTGTTTATTCTGTTTTTTGTTTGACTCCATGCCCTATCAAAAAGACAAAGAAAACAGATGCATCCTTTGGCTTATCATTCCATTTTTCACACTTAGTTTATTGATGCCACATATCACCCCATCTCATCTTATTGTAGTTTTCTCCATATAGTAAGAAATGTGCTTTTACTTTTATGCTTATGATTCTAAGTTTTTAAAATCCTACTGAGATCCACCCAAAGGAGAATTAAAATTTTGAGGCCTATTTTTAATTCTCCTATAGGTTGGTAGTGAATTTTAATTACCAAAGTTATACTTTAAGCAACTATTATAATTTTAACATATAATTCAGCAAACATTATAATTTGAATCTTAATTTAAAGGATTTCTAAAGTCAATTATGTCACAATTTTGATAATTAAGTCATGTATAAGTCTTAGGAGTGTCAGAATTTGGTGAGTACAAAGAAGAGAGGTTAGGAAAATGGAAGATTGCACATATTTGTGACTATTTAGCTCAACTGCAAAATAAAAAAAAAATATGATACCAGATAATTTCAGAGACTCTATTTTGTCTCAGCTCTATGATGCCATTGTTAAGGTAATTGTGTATTTAAGGCATATAAAAGGCTAAAAGTGATAATTAATTGGATATCTTCCCAAAATATTTGTAATAATAATGTACCTCATAAGATGAGAAATATTACTAATAAACATGTTAATACATAATAGCCTGATTTTTAATAGGACATGTTATGCTAAAATATGACTGTCAATTTATTAAAAGCTAGGGTAATTTGATATCACATTATTATTTTAAATATCATTACTTTAAGCTATGCAATAGTGATCAGCAAGCAGTATGAATCAAAAAAAATATTGGACATAATTGTAAACAATAAAATAAAAATAAATAATTTTCTTTTTTTTATTTAAGGAGAAAAGAAAAAAAAAGCAGGGAAAGGGTACAAGTTATACAGATTTACAGAAAAAAAATGAACAGTAGGAAATCACTAGTTAATGGATTACATATTGTCATCTTAGAAATAATTGTTCAAGTCACAAAATTAAAGCTTGTAAAGTGGACATTCCATCAATGATATTGCAAACAGTTCTGTTCATTGATCCAATAAAACTCTGTGATATCATTTTCTATCTTATACACTTAAATATACATGCAGTTATATAGTTTGGAGCACTTTCTTTTCCTCTCTTTTGTACCATGACTATTACACATTTTGGGTTTCATTTCTCCCATGGTTCTTATTACTTTTTTGGAAGAGAGTAAAACCAAATGTGACAGAACAGAATCGGTCAAGTCAAAAGGGTGGACATAATAGATAATGTAAAAACATAATACAAGGTGATCAACAATGGTTACCATAATGCCTCCCGCTATCTCTAATAGAATTGCCTATATCGTTAGTTATAATACAATTGAACAAAACAGTAAAGAATAAAACCGACAAAACCAAAACATTGGAGACATTGTAGGTCTTCAAAAGTAGATTTTTTTTCATGAAATAATTGCCCAGAGGCATTCTTCTGGACTGAAACTAGGTAACTTTCTAATAAAGGAAGGAATTAAGGAGCACAAAACTCTTTAGGAAAATGGAAAAGAAGTGGCTTAGCCACAAAGTTTTCCTGATCATTCCTAAGAAGTAGGAAATGTTTAAAACAAAAACATATTTGTAATCACAAAGTGAATAATTGTTTTAAAAGTATTAGTCATATTCTTCCCTGTTATCAATATTTTAACTGTTACTGGTAGTCTTGATAAAAAACAAATCAGCACCTATTAATTGTTCTGACAAATCAATTTTTCAAAATTAGAAAGGGCAAAGACCCAATCCAAAAATGGGAATCTAAGAGGAATACATGCTTCTCAGATGAAGGAATACAAATGACAAATAAGTACATGAAAAATGTTCAACATTACCAGACATTCAAAAAATACAAATTTAAAAAATACTGAGATTTCATCTTACTTCATAAAGAATGGATATCATCAAAAATCCACCAATCACAAATGCTGGCAAGGTTGTGGGGAAAAGGAATCCTCTATTGTTGGTGGGAGTGTAGACTGGTACAGCCACTGTGGAAATCAGTGTGGGGATGTCTCAAAAAAACTAGGATTGGAGGTCTCATTTGATCCAGCTATTTTTCTTCTGGGTATTTTCTCAGAGGAATTTAAGACATCTTAGCACAGTAATATGTGTGCACCCATGTTTATAACAGCACAATTTGTAATAGCTAAATCTTGGAAACAACCTAAATGCTCATCAATCACAGAACATATAAAATAATGTGGTATTTTATACAATGAAGTACTACTCTGCCATAAAGAAGGATAAACTTGAGGCTTTTTTAAGTAAATGGATGCAGCTGGAGACCACACAGTGAAATAAAGCAGACTTACATGCACATGCATCATATTGTTTCTCTAGTGGGAAAACCGAAAGAGTAAATAAGATTCAAAATGTAAAATAGATATTGTGAAAGAGAAAGTATAGCTGCTGAAAAAAAAAAACAATTGGGTTGAAGCAAAAGAGAAAAGAAAGAAGAGAAAATATAATATTATGTGTATATGCATATATAGATAGATAATTATACTATTACTCTGTTAGTTCATCAAAAAGGGTTTGTGCTTTAATTGTTTGATCATTTTTTCATACCTGTATTTTATAATCTGAGCAACTACTTTGAAAATAGCAATGTACAATATATTAACCATTGTTAATCTTCTACTATTATGCTTTGAAATTCTGCATCTTTTTTATTTGTTTTAAAATTAAAAAAAAAAGTAAAAGAGCTGGAAATATTTGTCTAAGCCCAGTGTACTTAAATATCATTAAGAATTTAAAAATATATAAAAGAATTCACAAACTCCTATAGAAAATAATAGTTAAAGGATAAAATACTATGTCAGATCTGATAATCTGTGTTTAAATTCAAACTGTAAAAATAGTCTAAAACCCACGCAAAGATTTTGTATAAGGCAACAGAATGATTCCAAAGAAAACGTTTGCTCTCAACTTATTTTGTTCTTTCTGAAGGCCATTACAAAACAGTAAATTTCTCCAGGTCCAAAAGATATATGCTGATTTATAATATATAGGCAGCATTTTTTCTGTTGCATGTTATCTTTGTGGTTCTGATTTGGTTGTTTCACTTGTTTATTGAGTATATGAGGCTGAGAGATACAACTCTTCATGCCAACATGGAACCAAGAAATGTATTAGAAAAGCATGGTGATATATACATGTGAAACAGCATCTTGGGAAGTTTACTGATCTGGAAACTGTCTCAAAATT